TTCTTGGTGACACTTCTCAAGTAACCCCCCCCCCCCCCTTTTGCCTCCTAACAAAGCTTCAGTTTTTTGCCTAGTGTTAACCTAGAATCTGGTTTGGGATTCTTTTCCCCTTTTTGTTCCCTTGTAGATTTTTTTTGACCTTGTAGGTTCCCTGGTACCCTTTACCCATTGCTGTGACTGACATGGTTGAGAGGCCATCCAGTTCTCCCATTGTAGAGTGGTCAGGGCAGGAATTACTTCTGGTTTGTGCCTCTTTAGACAAAGGCAAGTCTAATATCGTCTATCTTCAGTGTGCTGGAACTCAGGGTTGTCAGTCTGTCTGTCTTGCACTGGACCATTGTCTGAAGGGCTCCCAATCTGGATTCATGCCAGACAATACCATGGCTGTGGCCTGCATCAACCATCAGGGAGGACAAGAAGTGCGCCATCGCTTTTGAGGTCTCACGTTTTTCATTGGGTGGAGAATCACATAGTTACATAGTATTTGAGGTTGAATAAAGACATTAGTCCATCAAGTCCAACCTATAGGATCTTATTCCTAGGAGTACTACTTGTACCCCTGTATATTACGGTCCCTTAAGAAATCGTCCAAAAGTTTCTTGAACAATTCCACATTCTTTGCTGAAATCACCGCCTGTGGCAGTGAGTTCCAGACCTTGACCGCTCTAACTGTGAAGAACCCCCTTCGCCCCTTGTGCTGGAACTTCTTTTCCACCAATTTTAGGTGATGAACGGCATTCCCATAATGGTATACACCATTTATTTATTTTTTTATTTCAAAGTGCATTACTTTGCATTTATCAACATTAAACCTCATCTGCCACATTAATGCCCATTCCCCTATTTTATCCAAGTCCTCCTGTAATGCCACAATCTCTAAGGGCCTGTTCACACGATGTCCGTTTTGTGTGCTGACCGGCTCCGTACGCTGCTGCACTCAAAATGCATCCCAATGTATCCCTATGTGTTTTATGGGCTACAGTTCTCACGTGCGCAGTCCGTTCAGCTTACGACAGAAAAAATACTGCATGTCACATTTTGTCCGGTCCGGAAATGCACGAACCGCAACGGAACGGAAACGCAACGCAATGCAGCTAAGGAAAAAGCTAAGGAAAAAGTGACCTCAGAGGCTGAATCTGCATACTGACAGCCCCTTGGCTAAAAAAAAAATGAACTGTCAGCATCCGGACCGAAAACGCGTCAAAAACGCACTGCATCAGCAGCTCCACGTCTGCTGATCAGTACCTGATCTCATGTGAACAGGCCCTAAGTCCGTGTCTATTACCCTCCCAATTTTAGTATCATCCGCAAACACGGAAATATCGCTGTTAACACCTTCCCCGATGTCATTAATAAATAAGTTGAACAATATGGGACCCAGCACAGAACCCTGAGGCACACCGCTCATTACAAGCGGGTTGCCGTTACCGGGTGTTTCACATATAGACGATCGGCGGCTCCATAGCCCGCCGATCGCCTATATGTGTTCGCTTACCCCCCACCCCCTCCCCCCCCGCGGCTGAGGAGAAAAAAGTGTTCAGTGCCTCGGCCCTCTCCTTGTCATTTGTGACTAGCTTCCCGCTTTCATCCTTCATCGGGCATATCTGCTCCTTTCTCACCTTTTTACTATTAATATATTGGTAGAATTTTTTGGGGTTATTTTTACTATCTATGGCGATATGCTTTTCGCACTCAGTTTTAGCTGCCCGGATTACTAGTTTGCATTTTTTGTTACATTCTTTGTAGTTAAGGAACGCCACGTTTTTGGCTCTCCTGGGGTAGACAGTTAACAGACCTTTCACCTCCTGCCGTTGGATAGAGGGGAGTTGCCCTTTACTCAGAGGTCTTTCACCTTCTTTGTCTGCATTAGGGGACGCTGGATGTGGATCTGCTGATGTCTTGCTTTAGTTGCAAAGTGGCTTGGTTCATGGCCAGGACAAAAGATTGATGGGCAGATGCAACAGATGTTCTGGTGTCTCTGTGGGATCAGTACAGTCTAAATTATGCGTTTGCTTCCCTAAAGCTCCTACCTTGTCCACTTAGCAGTATCATCCTGGTTGCGTCGGATTGGCCTTGTTAAACAGATGTGATTTAGTCATGTTGTAGACACTCCCTAGTGCCTGCCTTTTCATCCTGATAGTCTGTCTTAAGGATCCAACTTCCACCTGCTTTACAGTCAGGTTTAACAGCCTGGCTGTCGGGACAGGGAGTTGTCAGAGACTGTTATTGTCAATGCATGAAAGGCCACTTCTCATAGAGTCTATCTTTGTACTAGGAAGGCCTTTTTCACTTGGTGCAAGTTCTTGTTTTCTCCATGAGTTTTATTGGTGGCTGGGATTCTAGTGTTTCTCCAATGTGGATTGGACCAGAGCCTAGCCCTTAGCACAACCAAAGCTCAGATTCAGTCTTTGCCCATCCTGTTTGAAAGGCTGTTGGCCTCACATTCTGTGGTGCATACCTTTTGACCAGTACATATCACTCCTTCTGTGATATTGCAGATGACTCTGTGGGATCTGAATGTTGTACTTTTGTTTTATGAAGTCCCTATTTGAGAATATTCATGAAATGACTTTGTTGACTCTTTCAGATCTCCGCTGTATTCTTCATTGAGCGTAAGAAAAAAATGGATTTTTGTACTTGCCGTAAAATCCTTTTCTCTGTATTCGTACTCTTCTGATTATGTTGGCTGTTTTGGAGTTGCTCTGCTCTCCTTTAACTGCTGGTTGACCACCAGCATGGGCTGTTTTTTGTGTTTTGTACCTAGCATCCTGATCTGTACCTAGATGTCTACAGATCTTCATGGCGTGTTATAAAATTAATGCAGAAATATATTATTTTACAGTGAGTACAAAATC